GAGAAGAGGTGAATAAATCAAAAAATTGTAAAAATCAAGTCCATACACGAGGGTGTGTGAGGAAAGGATTGTGACGAATATCTGATGCAAAGAAGGTAAATTGCCTCCTAGGAGATGGCTGCAAGCATTTGAAAATGTTCAGTTTAGACTTTTTGAAAACATTCTGGCACTGAAAAATGAATCTAAACAAAACAAGGTAACTATATTAGAAGCTTAATGTTTTTGAACATGATGTTCTTCAAAGACTTTGAACGCTGCTTTTGGTCATTGATTTATTTTTTTAAATTCTCACATACTTAAGTATTTTATCAGTGCTAGGTATCCCACTGAAACACCAGAAAATAGGTGTGTTAAAGATTAGTTTAAATGTGTTCTGAAGCATTTTCAGTGATCAGACTCCTTTGAGGTGATTGTGAACACTTTTGCCTTTTATTTTTAACAATTGTGTACCTTCCTGTGCCATTCCAGTCAGAGAAGTCTTGCTCCTGTGGAGGAAATTAGCTGAACTTTTCATCAAATAGATGGTTATTTTAACTGTAAACACAACTTAAAGACCACCAGCAGGGACAGATACAGTACAGAAGCATAGTCAAAACACTTTCTCAGTGAATTCCCCCTCTGAATCAGAAATGAGTCCTTGCAAGTGGCCAGGGAGGGAGGGAAGGGTGGATGGAAATATAAAATAACATAAATGCCACTTACACAAAAGCTGTCTGTGTGAATCGGTGATGTTCGAGTTCTCATGCCAGAAGGGGTTTATCAAAGGGTAACATTCACTCCTCACTATTAGAAAAAGGGAAAAAACAATGAGGAAAAAATTACACTATGATATCTGTTTGCTATATATATATTTGGTTTTTTTACATCTACATATATTTCATATAATGCTGGCTGCTGCTAAAACAGCCATTCCTAGGTAGGGAAGGCAATGAGAGGATTTTTGGCATGCAGCATCAGCTGCTCCCATGGGGCCTGACCACTGGAGTCAACAGGGAAACATCTGCTCATTGGAGTGGGCTCAGTGCACAGCAAAGAGACAATTCCTGTAACCTGCTCCTTCTCCCTGCTGCTCTGGAAGCAGCATCCTTTCTTGCCCATGGCAAACATTACTTACTCCTGAATTTCAAGAGTGGAATCAAAGCCAAAAGTTAAATGCCTAGGATATAAATTAACAACATGGGGAAAATCCTATATACTGATACTTAGGATTATCATAATTCTGTATTATGACACATAATAATACATACATTTAAATTAATTGTGTTGTTTTGTAAATAAACTATATAGTGTTTCTATTTCTATTCTTTATATTAATATTTATCTTTTTAAGGGCTTTAACCCAGAACTTTTGCCCCTTAATTTCCTGAGCCAAATGAAAAGACATCTCCTTCCTTCTAAATGGTTAACGTTTATTAGATTATCTTGAATTAAAAGTTAATGTAAAATTAGGTTACAGTAGCAGAAAATTCGCTCTTCCCATGTGTCCTTCGGCAAGTGACACGGGAGTATCGACAAGGCACTGCCCACGGTCCCGGGCACAGCCGGGGAGCGCCTGTCCCTTGAACCTCGCAGAGCCGGAGCTGCCCCCGAGCCGCACGGACACCCGCACGCCCATCCCCGATCCCCGCATCCCAGAGCCGGAGCCTCGCAGATGGACCCCGAACACACCCCAGCAGCTGCATCCCGCAGCCAGACCCCGCATCCCCG